TTTTTTTATCTTCCACTAATCGTCTGAGATTATGCTTTCAGAAAATTCTCGGTTAGATGCTCGTGAAAACCTTGTAAAATCATTGAACAAACTCTTTGGTCCTCCTCTTTTCTTCCGTAACATCATCCTTATTAAGAATTGATAGCTATTTTATTTCTTCATTTATTCTTGGAAAGTTGAATGTACCTGTTCGAATACTCGCGCCCTTTGTGCGGTCACGTGGGAGCGTCACGTGATGCGTGAGGTTCACTGAACTTGACCGAAGATTAGATTCATTTTATTCGAATAAAAGGTTACTTCTCGTCACAATTTTTCTTCGATACTTATATATAGATCGTTCTAACTTCATATTTAATAGATTCTCTGCAAAAATCAATCCTATTCTTAATATAGAAATTAATGTGTCTGACTACATATGTCTACTTCCACTGTGCGCGCAAACCTGAATAAGAACAGTAAAGATTAACGAATATAAGCAACCTAAATGATTAAAGAAATCGTCAATTATTTAAATCATCCTCACTGTTACAATGTCACTTGCTCTCAACACTTTAATGTACTAAAAGCGTACAAAAATATAAACTCCGTAGCGCGGGAAAATTCAAAATATCATTTAGCAATAAACACGACTTTACAAATTGTGTAGTTAATAAAATATATAAATTGACTAGTTTAAAGGTAAAAAATATTGATCAGGTATTATAGCAAAGATAAAGTAATATTAAGGTGTACAGCTCACATACGTATACGTATAAGTGTGTAGCTATCCGTTCCGTCAGTTTGCGTACAAACTCATCTCGAACAGTTTAGCAGCATCGCTGATAGAAACTTCATTTTGGGACGAGTTTGGGTTCGGTCACGACGGCTCTTTTTCCCGAGGCTCCTTCCACTCAAATAATAATGTAGCTTAATTACACGAGAACAAGTCGATATGTTGGTGATACAAATATTTAGAGGTTGGACGGAGAGTAGCCGTGGAACGATGTTATTAGTAAATTAACCGACATCAAAGAAAATGCGAGCGTTGGTCACTTACTCTGCTAATGGAAAGCTTGCATCGTTCTATATGATATATCTATAGATGTACGTACGTGTACAGATACATTTCTATATTTCAGTTATACTACCTCATCTGTTGGTCCTTCATCAACCATCGACGGTTCAATTATACAGGGTATCCTATTTAGAGTGACCGCCTTGTAACTGTTTTCTGAAAGGGAAAAATATTGTAGGTGTAATATTTTCTAAATTTAAGGTGCATTAGGTGAGGTTGCCATTTAAAAGATTACACAAATTCGAAATTTTCTAAAATTTCTAAAATTGTCAAATTTCCTTAAATCCAAAAATCCTAAAAAATGTCCACAACTGTCTAAATTCTCAAAGTCTCAAATAACCAAATCCCTATCTTCTCCCTTGCTCACACTAACTTATAATCAAACTCTACAAAAAGTCATCATGATTCTTTCAAATGAAAGTATAATACAGAAATCTAATTTTAATCGTAGCTCTGTAACCAACAATCTGCCTCTTAATCAGAATCCTTAATCATTAATCAAATTAAGTTTGTAAACCTCCGCCTAACCTCAAAAGTAACAGCAAATCTCCTCGCTCATTTTTCTTCCGAGAGCACCTAACCGATACCCAGGCACGCTTATTCATTTATCATCGCTCCGGTATGATCGCTTAAGAGGATGATGCATGCCGCTAGTGACAAGGACCTTGAAAACACCAAAAGACCCGTACATCCCTAGCTAGTTCTCCTTAGCGATTTCCTTATGTCGTTCGTTACCTTCAGGGTCTTAAGGGTGATTTCTTTTCGTTTCTGGCTCCGCCGGACTAAATTTCGCGCGCTAAGCCCTCGGTGTAATCCTGCCCTTAATATTCAAAAACGTGATCGCCCTGCCAAGCGTCCCGGAGGAAGGAGCTGCCCCCACGACCGAGCTCCGTCCGAGCGAACTGGCGAACAGGGAAAGCTTTTCATATGCTAATTGGCATTCGTCATTTTCTTATGGCGGTGACTTAAGTGTGCTTAAGCGTGCTAACTCCTTTTTCGAAGCATTAGACCTTCGCCGAGATCGTGAGACCGGTGTCATTTTGGAAATTGGACGGTTTTAGGATATTTTACCTTCTTGCGGAATATCAAGTTTGGGACGTCTTTCTTGTCTGAAGATTATCGATTGTGTTTATTAACTTGGATACTTATTTATATTATGACGCACTCGTGACACACTCGTAACGCAGTCTTGACAAATTCGTCACGCACTCCTGACGCACTCCTGACGCACTCATGACGCACTCTTGACGCACTCCTGACGCATTCGTGACGCACTCCTCTCGCGGTCGTGACGCACTCGTGACACACTCCTGACGCACTCCTGACGCACTGCTGACGTACTCGTGACGCACTCTTGACGCATTCCTGACGTACTCGTGTCGCACTCCTTGTCGCAGTCATGACGCACTCGCGACGCACTCTTGATGTACTTGTGACGCACTCCTGACGCATTCCTAACGCACTCGTGACGCACTCCTAACGTACTCGTGACGCACTCGTAGTTCAGCTGTGATCAGTTTTACTCGAATTTTTAGTTCGCTCATTTGAAGGTCAAGTTTAACAATTTGCATAGACAAAGATTGCGTAATAAATTGACATAGTATTTCAACTTTTTTTGTCTGTAGTTGCGACGCACCTGACAAATAAATCACAGTGCGGCTAAGAGCATAAAACCGGTTAAATGACTGCTCCACAAGTGTCGTGATAGGTAATTAGAATTTTTTGAGGTGTTTTTTGTAAAATCTGCAGTGATTCTCAAGATGAAGAAGTAACGTCAGTTTTCTTTCGATAAGGAAACTATTCTTAATTTAATTTAATTAGTACGTTGACTGCTACACTGAAGTCATTGAAACTTGCATTAGGTAGTAAACAAATTCTATAATATATTTTCATATTTGTTGTATTTGTTTTCTACAGTAGTAAGTAATTGATTTGAGTATTTTTAGTTAGTGAACAAATTTTTAATAATATAGAAGTTTGTATAGAATTTGAAGAGTCACCCTTATTTAGGCTACATGACAGTCAACTTAATGTTTTATGTTTTAACCATATGTTTTCATAGTATTTTGTTATATATTTATTTTCCATAAGTTCAGGTAGTGAGTACGAGTATTTTCAGTTAGGAAAGTGAATCAATTTTTAATAATATATGAATTTGTATAGAAATTGTATCACCCTTATATAGGCTGCATGCCAATGTCAACTTAAACTTTTAACATTAAATTGACATTATCATAGTATTTTGTTGTACATTAATTTTCCACAGTACCAAGTAATTAATACGAGTACTTTCATTCAAGAAAGCGAATAAATTTTTAAAAATATAAAAAACTGTAAAGAAGTGTCACCCACATATGAACACCACGATCTAAAATTAAAACATAAATAATGTACTCGTATTTCCCTCCACAACGAATGTTCTGAAGTTAACCTAAAACAGTATCGTCACGTTCCTAATTGATCGTCTGGCGATAATAACTGATTCGATAATCGACACATGTAACTAACGGATATATTTCCCTTCTCGTGTCGAGTCATACGAGCATTACCGTCTTCTATCGTAGCACATGCGTATATTACACTCTACCTTTATCGAAAGATATCTGAGCAGCGTATCTGTAACAAGATAACAAGTATGAGTTCCTCGGCTAAAAGTGCCACACTTGTGATCCCACGTTAGTCGATTTGGTCTCTTCAACCAATTTTCCTTTTTTTTGTTGCTCCTCCTGAGTGCCACGATCGAAATCGGTGTGGTGACATAATGTGATCTAACGACGACTTTAGTGACGTCGATAAATTCGTGTGTGATTACGAAATAATTTTACGCAATTTAATAACGGTGTAGTTTTGATAGTTATCGATGAATATTGATTTATAGTGATAGGCTTGGTGAGTTTTCATGTGCGTTCCGGGAACTAAAAACGTCAGCAGGTGATTCATTATGACACATAACTAGACACATGCAACACGGTCTCCATCTAAGTGTTGTAATTAGCAAACAAATTTAATTGATAACGTTTATGATAGTGTTTATATAGGTCCATTTGAGTGCCACCCCTTGAATTGTTCTTTTAGTTATGAAAATTCAAAAATTCGTACATGATTTCGGTATCTGGATATTATCTCGATGATCGCCGAATATTATTGAGATTACGTGTGGAAATTGATATCAAATAATAGTACAAGTAGTATGAACAATAGGGTAAAAATACAACATACTAAGAAGCTGTATAAAAAATAGTATAAAATAATTTTTTACTAAAGAAGTAATATAAACAATATTATGAAGTAACCATACTAAGAAGTAGTATAAACAATACTATAAGATAATACCATAAACAATATAATAAAACAATATATTAAGAAAAGAGTACAAATATTAACTTGACATTGCAGTATTCAAAACAGAATAGTATAAAATTTAAAAAATAAGAGTGCAAATTTAACGTTTTATTTATAAAATGACTCTATAAAAATTCTTCAATAAAGCTTCGTTATGTGGAGAATGTATTACATATCAACATACACATGCTCATCATTGTCAGTTCCTTTTATAATCAATTATTTATGAAACAAATTTAGTTTATTCTTAACATATACATATTTTAAATAATTTGTAAAACAAATTGAGGGTATATTTAATGCATGTATATAAATAATTAAATAATTTTTAAATTATTAAATAATTTTTCAAACAAAATCACTATATGTATACTTGATAAGATTATATTTTAAACAATTCTTCAGACAAACTGAGTGTATATTTGATGCATGTACATAACAACAATTTTTATCAAACAAGCCTAGTGTACACTGAAAACAATTTTTCTGGAAAATTGAATAGACATACATATACATCTTAAATAATTTTTCAAGATTAAATTTGAAGGTGAATTGTCGATGTTTCTTGCAGTCGAATCGTAAAATTACGTCTGATTTGAACGGAATGACAATACATCTGCAAGAAGTGGTGAGATCGGAAGTGGAAGGTGGTTTAGCGGGACCAGCCAATCCGATACCGAGTCAATCGATCGATTGCGGTTGCGGACAATTGCCATGTCCAAAATTAGCAAAATATGCGACTCGAGGAGTCTTCGTTGGGTTGATATCATGGGTCGGTTTAGTACAAGCTATTGCGTACGCTTATCTTCACGTGATTGGCCCTACAATCGCAAGGAGGTTCCAATTTGACCCTTATGTCATGGGTATGCATTTTAATCACTCTGTTCTCAAGATTCTGGTGTTTCTAAATCTTTCAAATTCCAAAATTCCCGAATTCCCAAATTTCCGAATACCAAAATTCCCGAATTCCAAAATCCCCGAATTCCAAAATTTCCGAATTCCCAAATTCCCCGATTCCTAAATTTCCGAATTCCAAAATTTCCGAATTCCCAAATTCCCTAATTCCAAAATTCCCCAATTTCAAAATCCCCGAATTCCCAAATTCCCCGATTCCTAAATTTCCGAATTCCTAAATTCCCCAATTCCAAAATTCCCCAATTTCAAAATCCCCGAATTCCCAAATTCCCCGATTCCTAAATTTCCGAATTCCTAAATTCCCCAATTCCAAAATTCCCCAATTTCCAAACTCCCCGATTCCTAAATTCCCGAATTCCCAAACTCCCCGATTCCTAAATTTCCAAATTCCCCAAATTCCCCAAATTCCCCAAATCCTCAAATCCCCAAATTCCCAAAAACCCTAAATTCATAATCCCTAAATTTCCGTAAAAAAGAAAAATAATAGTGATTACAGTAGTTTATTATAAACACTTCAATATTGCAGAATGGGTGCTCCTAATATCAGATTTAACCCCATTTTTCCTCGGAGTGACCATAGCCTACTGGGGCGATAGAATCCACAGAGCAGGATGGATCGGTGGCATAGTACTCTTGCAAAGCATTTCATATTTTGCTTTAATAATTCCTCACTTAACGCATCGGACAAGGGTTATCGAAGATACTGCAAATGCCACGCATATGGCGCTTTATGCAGGTAATTCAATTTTTAATCGATTCCATTTCAATCTTTATTTAGCATTTTATCCACTGCTAGTTTATTAATTGTCTTTTCGATACTGTCGACTGCTGAATGAAAACCAATCAGTCAATTATTAATTGTACGAATTTAGCAATCAATCATTATTGATTCATTTATGGGTCGAGTGAAATATTGAGAGTTAAGTGTGCTGTGATTAAGAGAAAATTGGGAAAAATGGGATTACTTTGAACATGGTTAAATTTATTATAATTGCAGAATAATTTATTGTAATTACAAATTTATTTATTATTGTTACAATATAATTTATTACAATTTCAAAATAATTTATTATAATTACCAAATAACTTATTACAATTTCAAAATAATTTATTTTAATTACCAAATAATTTATTACAATTTCAAAATAATTTATTATAATTACAGAATAATTTATTGTAATTACATTCTTCATGACAAATTATTATTCATTAAATATTACAAGTTTCACATGCTTTAGAATGTGCAGATATATTATTTAGAGATGTATCGCACTTTATGTCGTATTTTTTTTATAAAGTTTAAACAGTCTCTTGCTATATTACATTGTGTTTTGTAACAGCACACTTTATTTTACCACCAATTCCTGTGTAGGTTTATTCGATTAAAAATAAAAAATTGTTTATGACTAAATGCTATATAGAAGAAAGTCTTTCTATATTGCCAATTTCGAGAATTCTCTGCTCTTACAGCCCTATCTTGCAATATAACGAGAGTCTATTATATACTACAGCACATGTTAATAATATCCTAGTTTATGTTTATCAAACATTACATTATTGTTAAATTTGAATTACTATTATTACATAGATGAATTATTATTATTTAAATCTTTTTTTATTTCTCTGTTTTTAGATGTAAATCGAGAGCTATGTTCAGAAACTTCATCTAGTATTATTTCCGAAGAAGACTCACCATGTTATTTCACCTTCGCTATACTCATTGTTGTACAGATTGTCAGTGGAATCGCAAATATTTCATACTTTGCATTAGGTCTGTCTTATTTGGACGACAACACGAAAAAGAAGCACGTGGCTGCTTTTATCGGCGTTATGGTCGGTGTGAAAATTATGGGGATTTTATTGGGGTACATCCTGGCTTGGGGCTGTCTTAGGTAAATAATCTATAATTTTATATATTTGCTAAAATATTTTATTTTGTAAAATATTACATAGAATATAATGCAAGGTTTAATACAATATTACATAAAATATAATATAAGGTTTAACACAATATTACATAATATATCATTTTATTAATTCTAAGAAAACTTCTCATAACTGATAATACATAACAAGAGCCATAATAAATAACCAACAGATAATTGGCAATATAACGAGAGCCTGCTGCATTTAATATTTTTTTACTCTTTTAAAGTAGGTTCTAATGAGTAAATTTTGAAATAGTTGTTAGTTCAGAAAAAGCATTCTTAAAAATGATTCAAAAGGAACATAACCAACATTTGAGTAAATATTGAAATAGAAAACTGAACTCAAAAATTTGTATCAATGCAGGATTGATGCAGTGACCTTGAGCCCCATCGAGTCCTACAGGGAACAAATTGGTGCTTGGTGGTTAGGGTTACCAATTCTCACTGTACTACTTATAGTTCCTGGTTTATTACTTTCTTGGTTCCCACGTATGCTACCATCTCAGGTAATCACGAACATTAATTTACGATAAAAAATATTTATTTACTTGTATATTTGCATATTTATCTATTAGCTTTTTATGCATTTGTGTATTTGTCTACTTGTGCATTTGTGCATTTGTGCATTTGTGCATTTGTGCATTTGTGCATTTGTGCATTTGTGTATTTGTGCATTTCTGCATTTGTGTACTTGTATATTTGTATATTTACCTATTTATTTATTTGCCTACTCGCCTGTTTGTCTATTTGTCTATTTATTTATTTATCCATTTATCTATTATGTACCGTTCATCACATCAGTCTGATAACGAGTTAATTCATCAAACATAGTTAACAAGCTACTCCATCCACACTGTTACCCTGCTTCATCTATATTTCAGTCTTCCAATTACACAATATGAAACATTACAAATCACAAATAATCTCCAATCCTTGCCTACGATGTTTAATACTCCTAAAATATAAAAAATGACACGAGCACCCCAATTATTGCAACTGCTTCATTACTTACAATTAGTCCAATACTTTATAAAATAAAGCAATTTAAAAGTACCAAAGAACATCAAAATAATTCATGACAATTTCAGGTTGTTCTACGAGCCGCAGAATCCTTATTGAGTACCCTGGACAGATACGCCCGAGCACCTCGTAGATTAATGAGCCAGAAAGTTGGTAGTCCTGATTTTTGGCCTTCGCTGTGCAGACTATTTACTAATAAATCGCTAGTTCTTCACGGTGTGGCTGCCATCTTGTATCTTACGGCTATCTTGAACTTTATGAGCTACGAGAATTTAATCGCCGAATCGGTGTTTCATGTACCAAAACCGACCGGAACGTTGCTCGGCTTTGACGATCCGATGTCATCGAGAGTTGTGTCAAGTAAGATAAAATTGTTATTAATAAGTTGTTATACTTTTCGCAATAATTTTTACAATTTTTATTTGGTACTTATATAAGTATAAATACAGTCAGAAATAGTTAGAGTATTTTTCCAAACATAGATGAAGTGTCAAAAGTGATTGAAGTAGCCTTTCAAAAATAATTCACAGTCTCATAAGGTTCACAATCTTATAAGGTTCACAGTCTCATAAAGACACAATGTTCTGCATTGGGTCTCCTCTAGATTCCTTAGGGTCCCCTAGATTAAACACCTTGTTCAAGCTCCTTAAAGTAAAAAAATTAACCTGAGCACTTAATTTGACCACTATGAATTCATAATATCAACAATATTTATAATAGCAATACTCAATTAACAATCTTGCATTAACGTCGCATTTCAGATATGTTAAAGCCTTTTCTAATCGGCTTGATCGTCATCACTTCGGGTTTAGTAATCGCAAAAGCAAGACCCACTGCTAAAAGTATTGTAGGATACAATATTTTCATGCTATTTTTGACTGCTGGGATTATATTCACATTGTCCTTCACGTCTTGCGAGAACAAGCCTATTGTTGGTACCGACAATAAAGGATCGTAAGTTTACCGACTGTTGGTAACTTAATTAATAATGACAATGATTTACGATTTTATAAATATACTACCGATTTTTATAAATATACTGCTGAATTTTATAAATGTTCTATTGATTCTTTTAAATATATTGTCGACTTTTATAAATATTCTACTAATTTTTATAAATATGTGCATACAAAGATGTAATGTCATAGCTAACCTCAAAAATTGACTTTTTAATTGTTTTTTATTAACATCTTGTGATTGAAATATATGATTAGTTAATATTACAAAGAAAGTCCTTAGCAATCGTTTGATAACACTAAACTTTACCTTCAAGTTTAATTAAGTATTTTCCGAATATATAATTAAATATTTTCAAACTAAAAATTCCTAAAAACTCGATGATAAAATTTGGACAAATCAAAGTCTAGACAAATTTTTGAGATTTCAGTCATTAAAAAAGATTAATCGATGTCAATTTAACTGCGGTTACTTCAACTTTTTCAGACTCCTGCTGCTGCAATACTGCAACAGAAATTGCGGTTGCTCGAACGACGCTAATTTCCGTCCAGTTTGCGACAGCAAAGGGATGTTCACGTTTTATAGCGCTTGCCATGCTGGATGCAACTCCTCTGAATCCAAAAACGGCATAACAATTTACAGCAATTGCGAATGCGTGAAAGAAGTGCGTGAAAGAAACGGAATGAGTCTGGAAAACTTGGAAGCGGTTGACGGAGCTTGTGGTTTGAATGCTTGCCAAGCAAGTTGGCTGAGCTTCGAGGTAAATATCTTTATTGTTTGTTAGAAATATCTCTGTTATTGTAAATACCTTGATTATTGCAATTTATAGACAGATTATAGACAAATTTTAGTTAGCATTTGTTGTAAATATCTCAATTATTAATGCAATTGATAGACAAATGACTGACAAGTTTCAACTGTTATTTGAAGTAAATATCGTTACTGTAGCACAGTAATACAATTTAATAACTATTACTGTTTGTTATAAATATATGTCATGTTTATACTGAACGAACAAATTCTACTACAAATTCTAAATGACGAATATTGTTATTGTAGTAACACAGTAATATACTTGTAACAATTATTACAATTTATTATAAATATTTCAATCATCTTTAAATTAAGCTAATGCTAATTCTTAGACCTCAACCTCAAACCTAAACAAAATAAAACACTACTAAATTTTACTAAAAATAAGTAAGAACATTTAGTAAACACACCCTTAATCTAACAAACTCAAGTAAAATTAATAAAATTTAATTTCTTAAAATATATTTTTTTTCTTTAGTTTGGTACACTGCTGGCGTACATGCTAGTAGCTTCAACCTTCGTCGGTGACTTCTTGATACTTTTAAGACTAGTAAACGTTCAAGACAAAGCAATCAGCATAGGATTCTGGATGATGTGGTCCGCGATAGTTGTGCACGTTCCCGGGAAAATTCTATATGAAGTAATTGCCAATTTGACGTGTCAGTACTGGGGAACTCAGAAGATTTCCTGCCGCCTCCATGACAATTTCAGACTCGCCACTTATCTGTACTACTTTACGGGGATTCTTTTGATTCTGAGCATTTTGTTAAAAATAATAGGGATAATCATCTCTGAGAATCTGGAATTGTACCTTCATAGAGAAGAGGTAGGAACCGATGGAGCCGAAATGTCAGAACTGATGAAAAATAATGCGGATACGGATAAAACGACGGAACCGAATCCTGAGAATGATAGTAAGTTATTTTGTTAAAATTGGTGTGGGAAGTTTTATCAGTTGTGAAAAGAAAATTAATATTATTTCTAGGAGATATGATTTGTATAAATTCTTCGATGTTGATACAGCATACTATACTTTAATTACATAATACACTAACTCAGCCTTAATCTACATTAAACAATCTTAAACCATATCCAAGAATTACACACTTAATCAAAACCTCTCTAATCATAATTCACACTATATTTTCCCCAGACCAAACCATAGTTCAAGTGGAACCAAGAAGCGAAGCATCTCCCTCTTCACACGAAGACCCACAACCCACGGACACTGAATCATCACCCCTGAAATACGGCCCACTAGGTCCCGGCGATCGTCGAACGGATTCAAAATCCTCTCTCAACAAGCTACCCCAAAATCGAAAATCGGAAATTCGACGTCTGGATTCTGAGGATGAGCTGAGCTCCAGCGACGAGGATGTCATGCAGGACTCCAGTCCGAAGGTAGCCTACAGACCGTTGGACATCGACTCGGACGTGGAAAGTGACCTGGTGCATGCACCAGCCAGGTCACGCAAGCGCATTCCAAGCAAGGATTACGACAGCTCTTCGTCATCCAGACGGGAGTTTCCGAATCCAGATAAATACGAAGATCCAAGATTAACAAGAAAACTGATGAAAGGTGCTGATGGTTCTTCGAAGACCAACAGCTTCGAGTTCTCTAGAAAGAGGCAGGATGATAAGTTGCAGACGAAAGGAGATTTCAACGAGGTTGGGATACCAATTGTGGACCCGGTTCCGAGGTCTCCTCCGGACTCACGTTTCATGAAGGACGTGAAGTCGTTGATTAATAAATACGAGTTGAACGCGGAGCAACAGGGTAGTGATCAGGGGTCGGTTAAGTCTGCTGGAAGCCATCATTCGGAAGGGAAAGTCATTTCTGGCATACCTTTGGTAGCCATGACGAGAAGAGTATCGCCACCCAGATACCAGTCCTCTTCGGGGTTCAGCAGCATCGACAATCGACCGGAATCGCGCGAGAGCACCAGCCCTAAAGCGTCCAGCAAAGGTAGCGTAGGTACACTGCACACGGATTTTTAACGTCCGTTAGAATTAACGAACGTCAGATATGACGTGCGTGCAAATTAAATTTAGATGTAACGTGATGAAATTAACGTACATCCACATTAATATCCACCAACAGTACCACGCGGTCTAATTAACGTCCGTCAGATGTAACGTGCGTTCTAATTAACGTCCGTCAGACATAACGTGCGTCCAGATCAACGTCCGTCATATGTAACGTACGTCCAAATTAACAGACAGATGTAACGTGTGTTCATATTAACTTGCGTCCATTTTAACGCCAGTCAAACGTAATGTGCGTTAAAATTAACACCCGTGAGATGTAACGTGCGTCGAAATTAACGTCCGTAAGATGCAACGTGTGTCAACGTTAACGTGGAAATAAATTCTCTAGGGAAAACTTTGGAGTTTCGCGTCGAAGTTAGCTTGCAAAAGTGTTGTATTTATTCGCAAAGATATATTGTTGATTTTATGTTAGCGGTTTGTTGGACAAAAAGTGTATATTAGGAACACGACGTGGATTAGATATTTCCGAGAGATGATTGATAAGAGTGAACAGTATCAGCAATTACGTTAGTCTTCTGTTTGATATAGATAGAAGAGTTGTTCGAGATTGGCCAAGAATTCTCAACGAATCTTTTAATTGTGAAAACACATTCCTTCGTTCATATCGTAATTGTTACGTACACAAAATTTACTTGAGATTTGCTTCACTTTTTTTCCTTAAATTCGAAATAATTTTCAACGTCTATGACTCGACATTTCACCATTTTTGTTTCTTATTGCACGTTGACGTAGGGAAAAGGAGTAAAACTCCCTCCTGTAAGGAAAAGCCTTTTTTACTGAGTACCTTTCAATTTTACTGATATATTCTGTAAATACGACAAAGAAGGAAATGATTGTAATTGAAATCCACAAGAAGTAGATTGTAAGAATGTATGTATAAAAAACAGTAGATTGTCGATATTTATTTAACATCCTGATAAGACTATTTACTATTTAGTAATCAATTTCGCGTTTAACTTCATCAGAAATATCAATTCCGATCATGTATTTCGAAAAAATCTTCTGATTGTGGATTATGCTTGTCAAAACAGGTTAAAAAGTCCTGTATTGCTTTGCGATACGACATTTCGTTTTCGAGATACAAGCGATTGAATATTACGTATTTACGCGTACGCGGAGGCTGTTTGAATCGCGCGCGCTGTGCAATAATGGTGCGCGCGCATACAGTCAGTACCTAATTTTTGACTATCTATATCTCGAAAACGAAGCGACGTATCGGAAAACTGTAAAGAACTTTTCGACTTGTTTTGTAGCAAAGAATCCATGGTTTCAAGATTGAACCTTTTCGAAGCATTTAGTGTTCGAAAGTCTAAATTAAAAAAGAAATATAAATTATGATAGAAACATTTACATATCATATACTTTTAAAGCAATAAAGCTTCTTATCGTAGCATATTTTGTAGAAAAGTTTATACGTAATTTAATTAATGTCAGTATTGAAACAACACTGCCGACATAAGCTTCGATTTGATCAGAAATTATCAAACTTTGATATAAGCAAAACTAATGATAATTTTATATATCTCTTTGTGATAATAAAAATATATTTTTATTTCAAAAATTGTTATGAAAATCATACTGTTCATAGAGAATACATTATACTGTATTAATGACAGCTAGTAGTGTGTAAGTTCATAGAATTTAATTAATTAAATCTATAGCAATGTCCATCGTTACCTTCTTTTATATTTATTATAAAAATAAAACGTACTATAAACTAATTGTGTTACATTTGTCTTTTCTCAAGAAATTTTATCAAAGTTAAATAAAATTACACAGATTCATGTGGATAAAGTTTTATTGAAAGATATATGTTGTTAAAATTAAAATTACAAAACGATAGATCTCTTTAAATTTTCAATCATTTATTGCCCGATTTTGGTCCCATTATTATCGCCATTGCAAATTTTATTCTCGAAAGCGTTTCTCTCAGCATCCGCAGAATTATTTTAAGTGTACGCGCGCAATATTTATACAATTATTTAACAATTTTATTTATATATCTTCCTTATAATAATTGAGAAGGAAATAACTCGACAATCTTAAAATAACTGCAGCCAAGTTTGGATAACATTTTTTATTTCATTCAGAATAACCTTAATGCCTATCTGAGCTTTTCAAAACACGTTAAAATCAACATAAAATATCATATTAAATTCACCGTAGAAACACTTCCGTTCACCAATATGTACATAAAATCGTTTCTCAAAAATCTAATTATACATATTTATGAATCCTATTTGCAAGAAAAACTCCCATGTTAATTAAACTGAAATAGGTTGCATATTTGAAAAATAAACGAAACAGTATTTTATCATTAGCAAACTCCTCGCCATGAACCTAACCTAACATAACCTAGTATATCACTAAATTATAAACATCAATTTCACAACGCTTTTCCTCTAATTATTTCTGAAGTAACCAAAAATACCATGTCGTTTATTGTCTCCATTTCATTCAACATATTTCAGTTACATCAAAATGGCGGACGCCATAAAATTAGTCTCACGTAAAGTTCACACGTGCCAGAAAGGCTCCTCACAAATGATGCGAATACATCTCGTTGATTAATGATCATGAGGCGAAGGGTAAAAAAAAACAAAGTGTAACAAGTTAAATTCGTTTTTCTGTCTCAAATGCTGTGCCTCACGAATGAACCAGTTAATGGTAAGTTCTATCCGAGGTACTACGAGTTCTTTTTTGTTTTAAATATCTAAGAAGATGCTTAAGGTACTTGTAAAGTCTTTATTCGTCGGCTCTCTCGTTTTCCATCGTTCCCATCTGGTATTTTTTTTTTTTTGTTTGGTTTCTTTTGCTCTTCGACCAACGACTTTGCCGTTCGAACCTTTATTCCACCTTTTTTTCATGAAACGACGCGATCTGACTCGATCGTTAAGGACTCACTTTCAAAGTGTCTCCCCGGGTTCTTCGGCTATGTCTTTCAGCTCGATCTCCTCGTCGAAGATCTTCACGTCTTTCACGAAATACCAAACACCCACGTCGAATAACGTGCCGATCGTTACGAAAGCTGAAAGGAGAAATGTTAATACGACGGCGGGAGAACATTTTATCAGGTTGTTGCACGTGAGATGGCTGGTTTTGATGTGTTGTAGGTTGACACGGTTTGATGACGTAAGAGGAGATTGTATTTGGTAGATTTGGGAATTTGGGGATTGAGGGATTTGGGAATTTGGGAATTTAGAGGTTTAAGAATTTGGGAAATTTAGGAATTGGGAAATTTGGGAATTGGGAGATTTGGGAATTGGGAGATTTAGGAATTGGGAAATTTGGGAATTGGGAAATTTGGGAATTGGGAAATTTGGGAATTGGGAAATTTGGGAATTGGGAAATTTGGGAATTGGGAAATTTGGGAATTGGGAAATTTGGGAATTGGGAAATTTGGGAATTAGGAAATTCGGAAATTGGGAAATTTGGGAATTGGGAAATTTAGGAATTGGGAAATTTGGGAATTGGGAAATTTGGGAATTGGGAAATTTGGGAATTGGGAAATTTGGGAATTGGGAAATTTGGGAATTGGGAAATTTGGGAATTGGGAAATTTGGGAATTGGGAAATTTGGGAATTGGGAAATTTGGGAATTGGGAAATTTGGGAATTGGGAAATTTGGGAATTGGGAAATTTGGGAATTGGGAAATTTGGGAATTGGGAAATTTGGGAATTGGGAAATTTGGGAATTGGGAAATTTGGGAATTGGGAAATTTGGGAATTGGGAAATCTAGGAATTAGGAAATTTGGGAATTGGGAAAATTTGGAATTGGGAAATCTGGGAATTGGGAAATCTGGGAATTGGGAAATCTGGGAATTGGGAAATCTGGGAATTGGGAAATTTGGGAATTGGGAAATTTGGGAATTGGGAAATCTGAGAATTAGGAAATTTGGGAATTGGGAAAATTGGGAATTGGGAAATCTCGGAATTGGAAAATCTGGGAATTGGGAAATTTGGAAATTAGCAAATTGGAAAAATTGGAAAAATTGTAAATTTGGAAATTTAACGAAACCAAACTAAGTAAATTAATACGTAAACTGTTATCTCACGACATTTCAATGTCATCAAGCCGTCTCTAACTGTTGATATTTCGAAATTCGTTACTTAGTATGCAACAATCTGATAATTAATTCGAAGTGATTTATTATAGTGTGTAGAACTTACTAGCTGCGGTAAAGTTTAGCAAATATCTTAATGTTTCCCCGTTGTAGAGCCAACAGTTTCCTGTCCCTGAACACGTTTTTCCCCAAACAAGACATGTTCTATCTGCAGATAAAAATATCACCTGTTATCGCTAAGCATCAAACCATCATTTGATATTACTGTTGTTAATATAAATTATGTAACTAGATATCGCGACTACATGAATGAGTATATTAATTATGTATTATGTTAACATGTAATATAATTTTTATTATGTTCAATTATGTTAATATTTATTTTAAAATTTAACATTTTTAACATTTCTTTAAAATTTAACATTTCTAACAATTCTTTAAAATTTATGATTTCTAACATTTCTTTAAAATTATAACAAATATTTAACATTTACTTCAAATTTATATAAAGCGAATATTTTGAATATAATTTAGCACAAAATCTTGTACTATTCATTCAATAAATATCTTCTATCAAAGAAACGATTAAAACTTTTATAAATATCTTACCTAAGATGAATCCAAACAATATTGGAGAAGGTATGAACGCGAATAAACTCATGATAGTTAATCCAAAACCCATAGCCACCGTTTTGTCCTTCTCATCGACACATCTGACGGAGACCAAGAAGTTCGATGCCCTTCCGGTGGCACCACTGAACTTCAGTAGACAAACCACAGCCAAAAATACGTAAAACTTGTGCATACAGTCTACGGGACATGCACCTGGTACTGCAGTGCCGAATATCGACCTCTCAGGGTCGCTGTTCTCAAACGGAGCTTCCGTTCCGTACATCGCCGAGTTGTTTGCAAATAAATGTGGCAAGGAATGTGGAAACTTTGGTTTAATACAGTTGCAATCTGTGTACATCTTGCTACCATTACCGTGAAGCTGAAAATGAGAAGATTGATTTCATGTAAAAGGATGGTTAGTATGTGTAACATTAGTATATGTGTTAAATAGTATGTATAACATTATGTATGTGTTATGAAGAGTATGGGTGCGTATATTGTGGTGTTTTCAATTTTTCAATTTTTTAATTTCTCAATCTCTCAATTTTCCATTTTCTCAATTTTCCAATTTCTCAACTTTTCAATCTCTCAATTTTTCAATTTCTCAATTTTCCAATTTCTCAACTTCTCAATTTCTCAATTTCTCAACTTCTCAACTTCTCAATTTCTCAATTTCTCAACTTCTCAATTTTCCAATTTCTCAACTTCTCAATTTCTCATTTCTCAATTTCTCATTTCTCAATTTCTCAATTTCTCAATTTCTCAATTTCTCAATTTCTCAATTTCTCAATTTCTCAATTTCTCAATTTCTCAATTTCTCAATTTCTCAATTTCTCAATTTCTCAATTTCTCAATTTCTCAATTTCTCAATTTCTCAATTTCTCAATTTTTCAAGTCTTCAATATTTCAATTTTTCAATTATCCCATTTTTCAATTCTTCAGTTCTTTAATTTTTCAATTTCTCAACTTCTCAATTTCTCATTTCTCAATTTCTCATTTCTCAATTTCTCAATTTCTCAATTTCTCAATTTCTCAATTTCTCAATTTCTCAATTTCTCAATTTCTCAATTTCTCAATTTCTCAATTTCTCAATTTCTCAATTTTCTCATTTCTCAATTTCTCAATTTCTCAATTTCTCAATTTCTCAAGTCTTCAATATTTCAATTCTTCAATTATCCCATTTTTCAATTCTTCAATTCTTTAATTTTTCAATGTTTCAATTTTGCAAGTTTATACTTTTCCTAATTTTTAAATTTATAAATTCCCAAATGAAATTCACAAATTAACTAGTGACAGCCCATCATCAAAATTATACTGTCCACTAAACATTATTGAACTTATCAAAAATATCATATTTCTTTTTGATTCGCAATTATCTTCAATATAAAGTCTGCAATCAAATATTATTATATTCTGCCAAAATCGAAAAATGAAACCATAACACCCAGACCAAACCCTCTAAATTTAACAGGCAGTGAATGGTTTAATAAATACAATAAAAACAAAAAGACGGCTAACCTGCACATTTCGACATCCAGCATGGCAAGCGGATATGAATGTTTGTCCATGTTCCGAGCAAACAGGATTATAAGTAACGTAATCGCAATGGCACTGTTTATTGCACGGAAGCAGCGTCTTCAAGGCGCCATCCGGTTGAACGGTGATCTGACTGTCATTCGCCGAGCATCCGAGAAAAGCGTACGAAATCATCCCCATAACTGACACAGCGCCCACCATCACGTTCCACGCGGCCAAATACCTCGCCTTGGGTTTGTATTTCGAGATAATTAATCCGGACAGAAGAATACCGAATGCGCTGAAGACTAAACCGACTGTTCCCGTAATTAACGACGATACGGAGGCCGATTGTTTGTACTGCGTCTCGATGTATTTCGGCATGAAGATCCAGTAAGGCATGTATCCCATGAAGTAGAACACGGTCGCCAGATTGTTGCACATGAGGGTGGTGTTCGTAAGCAGTCGTTTGAACGTTCGCATCATGTCGGAAATGGAGGCGGGTAGTTCGGATTCTTCGTTCTCTTTGATGCTGGTTGCTGATTTGTTACGTTCGAGGGCCAGAGCTTTGCGGGCTGCGGCCCTGGGCAGCGTCTTTGGGAACAGGGCGATCACGCTGGCGAAGAAGAAGAGGAGGAACGCTAGGATGATCCAACCCAGCCACCATGCTCCTAACCACCTATTGATTTGATACATTTTTAATAAGGATAGATTAGAATTTTGATGGATTAATGATATACTGATGTTTTGTCCTAGGATGTTGTTCCTAGGGAATTTGGTAATTTAAGAGGACAAGGATTTTGTTCCTAGAGAATTTCACTATTTGAGAAGACAAGGATTTTGTTCCTAAAGAATTTGGTAATTTAAGAAGATAATGATTTTGATCTTAGGGAATTTGACTATTTGAGAAGACAAGGATGTTGTTCCTAGGGAATTTAATAATTTAAGAAGATAAGGATTTTGTTTCCAATGAATTTTATCATTTGAGAAGATAAAGACCTTGTTCTTAGGAAATTCAGAAATTCCCAAAGTCCTAAATTTCTACCTAAAAACAAATTTAAAAAATAAATTAAAAAGTAACCAATACCTCGGGTCCTGCGTAGTGATCGTAGGCGTCAAAGTGGGGCTGATATAAAACTTCAGAGCAAACGAAGCTAAACCATATCCAATGGCGGGACCCAACATTCGCAGGAAGTACGAAAAGCTGATCAACGCCGGTGTCTTCGATTTCTGTATATTGTCGTCCATATATGACACTCCCAGAGTGTAGTACAACGATCCACCGACTCCAGATACCAGCTGGGCTATGAACAACAACACTTGAGGGGCGAAATTCCCATCAGCGTCCTCGCACTCGTTTTCGCGATTCTCCTTTCCGAGACACAGGAACTTCCGGTATTTATCGGGTATTTGACTCGAGTTCACGTTCTGTGGCTTCGCTCCGTATTCTTTCGTGAGCAACAGAGCGTCCTCCCCTGGGCCGTACAGGAAATGCGGCAACATCGTCAGACAGCAAAAGAGTACAACCTGAAGAACAAAATAAGGAGAAAATAAATATTGTTGAGTATGATGGTTTTTTGAATGATGCTGATAATGGTTATAGTATGGTAAACTCTTGTTATATTGCAGAAAAGTGGAGAAGGAAAAGTTTGAGATATGGCTGGTCATATTTTCATTTATAATGTTCTCACAAGTTTCATAATATAGATAGTGGTTATAATATGGCAGACTTTTGTTATATTGCAGAAAAGTGTAGAAGGAAAAGTTGAGGATATAGCTGGTCAGATTTTCATTCATAGTATTTTGATAAATGAAAAGATCATTCATGATCTAAATAGTGGTTATAATATGATAGACTCTTGTTATATTGCATGAGAGTGTAAGAGAAAGTAATTGAAGTTGCTAATATGTACAGCAAAATGATTTCCTTCTATAATATTGTAACAAATTTTGAAAAGATCTCTAACAGTATCGATAATAGTTATAATACAGTGGACTCTTGTTATATTGCAGGAAAGTGTACAAGAAAAGTGTTGAAATGACTGGTCAACAGATTTGCTCCTATAATCTGAGACAAGTTTTGTGAAGATCCTTATTGATGTCGATACTCGTGATAATACAATAGACTCTCGTTATATTGCCGCAGTCTGTAAACGAAAATTGCGAAAGTCGACAACATATGTTCGATCAAAAAATTTCCTCCGGTAACATTATAACAAAATTTGAGATCTTTAAGGGCAACAGTAGTAATACGATAGACTCTCGTTATATTGCCGTAAAGTATAGTAAAAAATTGCTGAAATTATGCATGGTCAAAAATTTCTTATTATATTCTGACAAATTTTAAGCCATCGTTAAAACGCATCGTATGTGAAAGTAGTAAATGGCAATATAACGAGAGGTTACTCTTAACGATCGTTATGTGAAAATTCAATTTGTTTAAGTATGAAATAAATTACGAAATAATGAAATTATTGAAATATGAAAAGAAATTGATTATAAATTTTGAATTTTTTGTTAGAGTTTGTTTTAATTCAAACAAAAATGAAGATGTACAGAAGGAATATTTATTATTGGATTTGTGCTAGGTATTTTCAGCAATCGTTATTTACACCGAGGTGCTCTGATAATACGAGTACATTGTCTGCTATTTACATTCGGGCGATCAAACAAAATCAATCTTGGAAAATGCCACACATTTCTTTGAGTTTTTATATCAAATCATTGTACATGATTGTCTACGAACCGTGTTTATCGCGACGTTATCTAAACGATTGCTGTGACAATAATTCTCCGAGTATTCAACTGTCTTACACGAGATAAATGATGGGTAATTAATTTGACGAGAAACGGCAATAAAAGACGCCGGAAGTGTTTTTAAAACGATCTGTACTCTACTTCTTTCTATGTTTAAAATTTTAAATGTAGAACTTAATATACATAATCTATCTAAGAATTAATATATTAAATTTTGTAAAAAATATAAAATAATTCTTTTCAACAAATCTTTATTATTGTAACTAACAATCATATTTTATAAATTATAACGTTCTAAAATTCAGTTATAAAATTATGACTTGTAAAATAAATTATATACTATAAAATTATGATCCCATAATAAATTATGAATTAATTATAACTCATAAAATAAATTATAGTTTGATGAAAATTATTTTTGACAAAAAATTGCCATATTAAAAAACGAGTCTCTCATAAAAAAAGTTTGAAAAGCCCTGTAAAAGACTTCGGTAAAATGACAATAAAAATTTGAAAGAATGTAAAAGGACATGATCGATCGTTCTCTAACGAAAAGCGAAAAATGATGTTTGTCAACGGGGTGTTAAACCGAATCGTGTGTGTTTTCAAGGTAATTATTGAAAATACGTGACGCGAGTTGCTTCACGCACACCACCGTACGTCTTTTCACTGTTCAATGAATGGAGTGCTTAGCTAAGCATACGATGGCGAGAGTACGATGGTAAGAGGCGTGAATGAGCGTAGAGCTACGATTTCAACGCTTCCTAATTTAATTAAGAACCGACCAACCGGTGAGTTATGACGTCTCCTAGTTCATTCTTCGGGGCGTGTGCCGACAGCTGATAGTTTTCTCTATATTCCGCCGTATAGTCTCCGGTCAACAGAACAGGAGATAACGAGGGAATGACTTGCAGAGAATAAAGAAAATCGCGAACGATTTTTCATGAATCATTTGGAATGAAACTCACGCTGTAAATCCCAAACGCGATCCATCGAGGCCTGTGACCCCTTCCCGCGTAATAGGACAGGACCACCGATACGAATAATTGCGAGATATCGTTACCCACTGTGATAAGACCTGACAAACAAACAAAAATATAAGCTTTAATGGAGATAATTAAACCTTTCGGTCTATTGATTCGTGATATTAAATGCAAACACGTCGACAACTCTGTTTACAGCTACCAGTACATTTATTTACTTATAAAATAAAAATGTATTAAGGTGTTAAACGCCGTGGTGAATGTAACTGCGGTTGTTCGCATTGCGATTCTTTTGCGAGAATTCATTTTTAAATCAAAATTTTTTGGTAACGTTGGTGTATAATAGACTCTTGTTATATTGCCTCTCGTTATATGGATTGGTAATTCTTTGGATTGACAATATATTAGGCTGATCAAACACTGAAATTATATTATGACTATTTTTCTATTTTAATTTTGCTACGAAAGTAATGACTTGTTATATTGCCAAGGAGCAGAAAGTAATGGAATTAGCAATATATTAGCTCAAGATTCAAATTTGTATTGCGAATGTTATTCTAATTTATATACAGTGAAATTTTATTATATTGCATAATTAATATATGGTAAAATCTTATTATATTGCCGAAAGTATGAACAGAGGAAAAGTGAAAAAATTGGCAATATAATAGTTTAGTCAAAAATCATTTTCACTCTATGATTATTCAATTTTGTAAACTAAATTTTTCATTTGGTACCTTTCGAAATTAATATAGAGTAGGCTCTCATTATATTGCCATTGATAGGGTTGTAAGAATACAATGGCTGAAAGGTCTATCCTTTCATATTTCCCTGAATTCGCAACCTCTGTTTCTATGCATTAATTTAAATGAAGGAACCTCCAGCATATAAATGACGATATAAGGAATAGAAAATTCCTGTAATTGATAATGTCCTGAATCATTTAAAAAATTTATTTCTTTAATACTAGTAAATGGCAAAATAACGCGAGGAAAGTGATTAAAATTGGCAATATATTCAATCAATCCAAAAGTTTTCTTTGTATTTTAACAATTTACTGAATTCTTGTGTGTTATAGCAGTGAAGAAAATTCTTGGAATTAGCAAAATATTAAATCAATCCAAAAGTTGTCTTATTTTGTCTGTGCAATATAGTACATTGGTTACAAAATTATTTCTTTTAACATTTCAGACGTTTGTTGAATCATTCTATATTATAATGATAGATGTTTGAATCACTCTGTTATAGTTAGCATTTGGCAATATAACAAATCGAAAATTCTTGAAACTGGCAATATAGTACATTGGTTACGAAATTTTTTACTTTACTACTTTATCCATTTACTGAATCACTATGCTATAATAGTTGTTCACTGAATGACTCTACACTATAGTTTGCATATGGCAATATAACAAGTTCGAAATTCTCGAAGCTAACAATATAGTGCATTGGTAAAAAAGTGTCTCCTTTAATATCTCAAAAACTTGCCCAAACTTCGTTAACAATACGTTACAACTATAAAGCACTATCGGTATATGGCAATATAACGCGAGTCTACCTCAATATCAACTTCCCACGACATTCAACGCAATTATTAAACTTGAAAGCTTGAAAACAGTATTTCACGACGATAAATAATTACTCTTGATTGTAATGTTTTCAGTGAAAGTTTCACAGAAAATGATCCAATTTACCTGTAGTCTTGGAGGGTATCTTGAACCTTTTCTCGATGGTGGTGATGGTGCCGTTGAAATACGCGTAACTCGCCGAAAATATACATCCTAGCACACCGTAGAGAAACACGTAAGCCTTTTTGTTCGCGAATCTCTGCAAGGTCGCACCACGAATACACCAAATGCCGCAGGAGGTTTCGTCGGTGATGGGTAGCTCTTTGAACACGTCCTCGAGTCCTCTGGAACTCGGCGTGGTGGGTGTAGTCGGCGTTGTAGGCGGGGTGGACGGCACCCTCAACAACTTCAGGCTCTCCGGCCCGTTTTTCTCGTGGTTGCTCATATTATTCTTCATCTTTGGTCAACGAAGCGTTCCTAACCTGAAGAAATCTGCCTGTGACCTCAATCGCTGTTGGTCGCACGTTTTCGATGTACGTATGAAGTCCTCGCGGCCCTTGGCATCGCTTTTCCGTAAGTTTCGTCGTCTCTTCCGTTATTCTCAAGGTCACGTGTTCTCCATCTTTCGGTACCACGTGGTCAATCGTCGATCCCCTTTGCTTATGGCGTATCAATGACTCCTCACCTACGGAATCGAGAATGCGTGATACATCTTTATTTGACGAAAGTGAGGTTGGGAATTCAACTCACTGTGAGTCCGAACATTTTGCGTTGTATTTGATGTTTTCAAAAGAAACTGAAGTGCGATCATGATGGGAACAAATGACTCGAAGAATTTGGGGATTTGTTCAAATTTAGATTACTTGATAAGAACACTTTCAGAATTATATTGATATTTAGAAAATTTTATCTTATCTGGTGATCGAAAGTGAAAGTCGTAATTTTGTGCTGACTAAATGAAATAATTCTGCACCTAAACTTTTTGTGATGGCTCAGCAAGTTTTTAAGTTTTAAGTCCATTACTTGTTATTCAAAAAGGCGCGAAATTTGAAAATTAGTTTATTAAAACTTGATTATGAAGAAAATTAATAACGTGTCACAATATACGGATTAAACTAATTACCCAACATATGCAATATGTATTGAAATTATTTGTCTATGTTACAGGTAGCAATTAAAAGGCGCGAAATTTAAAAAATAATACACAAAAACTTGATCATAAATAAAATAATGAATAGTCTATCATGAAGACCTAATAATAATTGGCTCTCTGACTGTTAAAAATGTATGCTAATATCGATAATGCTCTCCTTAATATTTTTTATACAGGTTTCAATTTCAATGGCGCGAAATTTGAAAATTAGTTCTCAAAAGTTTGACTACTACAAAAATGACTGACAGTACCATGAAGAGATTCTGATGATCAAACAAGCATACTCATGCGATGAATCCACACTAACAAAGTACCTATTACCGCAACAATAAATAATTCACCTACCGTGTTAAAAACGAGGAGCCAACCAAAATTCCCCGAAAAAAGAGTCACTGAAAGTCGAAGCTGTTTCAGGGTCCTACGAAGAGTCACTCATAGACGATTCAATCGGATTAACGCTACTGATCGACGAAAAACGTGTTGGATCCGAAAACGAACGATATTCTTTTCCGACTGGAGTCACCTCCTGAACGACACAGATCAAACCGCCTCCGAAAGCCTCCTCCTGCGGATCCCCACCTTTCGACCCCGAAGAACTGATCGGACGACAGAGGATCGCAACGCGGAGAACCGTGATGCATCTATGGTACTTCAGTTCGCGTTGCTGTTATCAAGCGGGCACATTTTCTACCTCTCTTGCAGCCACTTCGTGTCTCCTTCCCCCTCTATCACATCGGTCTCCGTCAACGGCTACTCTCTGTCTCTCCCTCTGGCTCTCCCTGTGTTTATTTCTCCAATAACGGACGATTCTTCTCCTTGTCTCCGTTCCGTTTTCAGAGATCCATATTTGATTATCTGTGTTTGCAGAGACGTATCGATGATACCTGGAGCAAGGGATACAGACAGAAAAATCAGCCGGGACTTGATTAAAACGATCTGATAATAACGAGATACGGGATATGGATCGGGGATTTTTGCGAAGATGGAAATATTTAGAGTTCGAGATTAAACTGTTGGCTTTGGTCCTTTTGATTTTTGAGAACTTTTGGAGGATAGGGTGAGAAGTTATGACACATTCGGCTTATAGCTTTCACTAATCAGCTTGATTATATTCGTAATGTAATTTTTTTGGTAAATAGTATTAAATTTCAGCAATATTTTGAGATCGTAGATTTGTTGAAAGAATATTTTAATGTAGCATAACTCTATATAATATAGATACATATTCTGGTCTATTTTAATAAGTTTTCAGCGATGGAAGCGTAATCGTACTCCATTGCTTACGTTTCAAAAATAGACTCCTCTAAACACATCAAACACTAATCCTAGTCTCAAGGTAGTAAACGTATACTTGCACAAAGAGTGACAGTAATTAATTTTGAATACGAAATGAATCGATGAGTAGAAGAAATAAAATTTCCGTTAATTTGCGAATGCAAGATGGCGGCGCTAGTGCCATCTATTTGCAGCATCCGACATCCATAATTGGCAAGAAGGGCATTCCCGAGATAGGACCAGTCGAAAGATACACATCTCACCGAGATAGACGAGGTCTCAGCTTTGGGTATGGTGTCTATGCTCGTTTCTAGCCAACCTCCGGGAGCGGAGGCTTACATTGTGAACCCATTATGATTTAATAGAGCCGACGTGATGTACACACACGCGCACACTAACGCGGCTGGTAAACTCTTCCGTCTATTCCCGCGCATTGCTAATGGCACACACCAAACAACCATGCCACTAATAGCTGCCGGTTAATTGCTGAAACTTAATTTTCGATCGAAGAATGGATCGACCTGTGTCGTCGTTTGTTTCCGACGTTGGATGCGCCGTATATTCATTACGGATTTTCGTGGTTTTTCGGGTGGTCTGAGCATTGTTAGTTAGCTGGTAAATCAGCTGTTTTTAATTTGGTAATCTTTGGTACTCTAGTAGTGTCTGGTGGTCTCTGTGTGTGAACATTGATGTAATTGCATTTCACTGATTTAGCAGACGGATTTTGACATGGTTGATGAATTGTAATGTAATTTTGTTGTAGCTTGAAAGCATTTTGGATTGAGTTGGTCAGATAAGTTTATTCTAAGTATTCTGGTTTAAGTTACGTTACTTGGTAAGTTATAGTAAGTAGTAAGGTACATGGTAAGGTACATGGTAAGTAATAAGGTACCTTAATAACAGGGAGGTTAATTCGTTTTGGATGAAGTTTATAAAATCATCAATGTGTGAGGTTAAGTAATTATCTAGTATCAAATATGCTATATATTATATTAACAATATTTCTAATTCTTTTAAGTTATTCAATTACATTGTTCCAACAAAAACTTTCACTTAATTTTTGCACTTTAAATGCAACAAATCAGAATTGTTAGACGATAATCATGAGTAACAAAAATAAATAAATTCAGAATTTTTCAAATTTTCATGTCTGCAGTTCCAAAAATTGTATTTAACTTATACTTTTATCAAATTGTATTTAATTTACATTTTTAAAAATTGTATTTAATTTACATTCTTAAAAATTGTATTTAATTTACATTTTTTAAAATTGTATTTAATTTAGATTTTAAAAAATTGTATTTAATATGCATTTTTAAAAATTGTTTTTTAATTTACATTTTTAAAAATTGTATTTAATTTACATTTTTAAAAATTGTTTTTTAATTTACATTTTTTGAAATTGTATTTAATTTACATTTTTAAAAATTGCATTTAATTTACATTTTTTAAAATTGGTTTTTTAATTTACATTTTTAGAAATTGGTTTTTTAATTTACATTTTTAGAAATTGGTTTTTTAATTTACATTTTTAGAAATTGTATTTAATTTACATTTTTAAAAATTGTATTCTAATTTGTGTAGTTTTTATAAACCTTATAAAAAAATTGATAATAAAGAAATGTGTTGCCAAATCAAACTTGTTAAACAACAAATATTGAATTTAGACAACTTCGACAACCTTGAAGCCTAAAAACGAGATGTTCAAAATCTTTGTTATCAGTATCATTGAGATAGTTGCTAATCATGCTCGAATTTTCGCTGCACGTGTCTAAACTTCACGATTAACGTATCATTGAAACCGGCATTGATTGTCCATAAAAGACCCCAAAACAAATTTCGTGGAATCAGAAAAAGGATAAATATTGTGTACATTGTTTTCTGTACCATCGAAAATCGCGTCAATGTCATTGATATACAGAAAAAAAGAGACAAGTCACGAATATTAGCTAATTTCGACACGAGTTGTAGGAAATAACCTCGTGACGCTCTTGTGTTTGCAAACATGTGTCAAATATTGTGTTTGATGGCGAAAATTTACATCCGAGATAAGATGGCAATAAATTCATACATAATCTTGGCTTTCTGAGGAAAGAATCGTTTCCTCTTGTTTCGAATGATCAATTGTTCGTATTTAATAATCGGGACGGTTATGGTAGTTACGTTAGAATATCGAGTGGTAATAGTATTATATTTTTTAGTCAGATTTTTTAGTTTGTGGGATATCAGTTTGTAAATGACATTGTTATGTAAGAAGTTTGTATTGGATTTATTGTTGGATTTTGGGGTATTTTTTAGGAAATTTTGCTTAGGAGCTTTCCTTGTACGGTGAGAGTTTGAGAGTTTTATGATAGTGGTGGAGTTTTATATACTTATGGGGTTTCGAAAGAAAGATTTTCAATTTTAGAAATTTTCAAATCACAGGTTTCTTAATCTTTTAACTTTCAAGTTTCTTAATTTTCTAATGCTCAAATTTTCCAATTTTCCAACTTCCAAATTCTCATATTCTTTAATTTCCCAATTTCCAAATTTTCAAGTATTCCAATTTTCCAACTTCCAAATTCTCAAGTGTTCCAATTTTCCAATTTCCAAATTCGCAAATTTTCCAATTTCCAAATTCACCAATTTTCCAATTTCCAAATTCTCAAATTAAGAATTTCCAAATTCTCAAATTAGGAATTTCCAAATTCTCAAATTAAGAATTTCCAAATTCTCAAATTAACAATTTTCCAATTTTCTAACTTTCAATTTTCCAATTTTCTAATTCTCAATTGTCCAATTTTCTAATTCTCAAGTCTTTTAATTTTCAAATTTTTCAATTTTCAAATCCTCAAGTTTCTAAATTTTCTAATTTCCAAATTCTCAAGTTTCTTGCTTTTCAAATTTTCAAGTCTCTTAATTCTCAAATTCTCAGTACTTTCACTCTCACCTTCACTCTTTGAAATTTGTTAATTTTTTCTTCGACAAGTTAGAAGTGTTCAAATTTAAGAATTTTTTCATACACTTCAACACACTTAAAAATTTTTCAA